GTGTGTGTGTGTGTGTGTGTGTGTGTGTGTGTGAGAGAGAGAGAGAGAGAGAGAGAGAGAGAGAGAGAGAGAGAGAGAGAGAGAGAGAGATTTACGGTCGATTCTTCTTCCTCTTCCACCCACCCCCACCCCCACCGCCCATGAGGAAGCAGCATGGACATGCGTTGTGTGCGCTCCAGTGTGCTGAAATTAGAGGACAGACTGTGGTAGGAACCCTGTCGGTGGCTTTCGTAGCTCACTGAAGGCTGGCCATGCTCTGAGCTGTCCACAGATACGGGGTCTGTTCCTCTGCAGTTGCTTAGTGGCATGCCATTGAGTGGGATTCACTCACCCCCAGATGGCTAGTGATTCCTCAAGGAGGAGGTCCCAAACCCTGGGGTTCAGGATGACGCCCAGACACTTCCCACATTTGCAGTGAGATTCTCCCCACTCCCTCCCAGGGTATGAAATCAAAAGCCCACAGCCTCTTGATACCATGAAAGAGGTTAAAGAAGAAGTAGACAGAACAGGTTTGATTCAGAAAAGCGGAGCCACTCCCCAGGGCTCCTCCAGGCCACGCCAGCTTGGGACTGATGAGGCACCCAGCCTTGGGGACTGCAAAGCGACAGTGTCCTCTGTGTGACAGCAGCTGTGTCACGTGAGCCAATCTAATAAACCTCCTTTAAAAAAAAAAAAAAGTCGAACCGGAATTGCATTGAATTTACAACTCTGGATCAAACCTGATCCAATGTCCTGTCTGTCCCTCCTACTTCGGTGAGTGTGCCCGTGAACACACACACACACACACACCCCTCCTCCCTCCCTCTGTAGGAATAATTCCCCATAAGCCAATTAAGACGGGATGTCTTTAACTCATAGCAAAAGGCACCCTGTTATAATCCTTCCAGATTCTCCTGGTGTTGGCAGGCGAGCCCGGGGCTCTGCTTGGCTCAAGCTATCCACACTCCCCGCTCCCAACAAGCTGCAGATACATCCCATTTCAAATCAAGAAGCTGTTCCTTCCCTAGCAACCCCTTAGCGACTCCTCTTTTGTGGTCAGTGACTATTCAAACACGTCCCAGGACCTATCTGGAAACTAGAGACCAAGCACCAATATAGGCTGAACCGGTTTTGAGTGCATATACCCCATTTACCATGTTATGCCTACGTATAGGTGAACACGCACATGATTAAAACCAGATTCATCACGGGCATATGAGCAGTGAGTGAAGTCTTACGTAATCCACGCCTGTCAATGGAAACAGGGAACCACTCACCTCGCGCCCCTTAGCAACCGCCTCCTCCTGCCCGTAAAAGGAGGTCCTGAGCAGTCACCAGGGGCCTCTGGGCACTCAAGGAGCCACTCTGCTCTGTGCTGTCACTTTGCTCCTGGCTAAAGTTCCTTGTGACTTTGCAGCTTGGGGGCACTTCAGCTCTTTGAACAAGGCACCAGGGTCCTGGAATCACGCAGTCCAGGTCGTGACCTGAAGCAGCCTAGGCAACTGCTGTGCGCCACATGGGGCGGATTCCCCACCTCTCCGGCACGCGGCACGCGTGGAAAGGGGTGCCTCGCAAAGAGCAAGTAGCGGGGCTTCTCTGACCGGCACAGATGTCTCAAGCCATACTCCCAACTGTTGCTGACTACACTTTACATCTTGCAATGCCAGGGATTGAACCCAGGGCCTCTTGCATGCCAGGTTATGCACTACTCACATTTCCAATAGCCAAGTTACCCGTCCCCCAGGCCTCCCAGGCACAGGTACTGTGTACTTCTTCACTGGCCTCCCCAGTTATTACCGTGAGTCCTAAGGGTGACGCTGTCCAGAGGGCAGTGTACTCCAACAGACAATGCATGAAAAACTCAACACAGCTTTCCCTATTTATTAGATTCCAGATACATGGGACTGGATGGGAGAACCCCAGGGCATGTGATTTTACATGGGGTGGGGGTGGGGCTGTGGGGGAAACACATACAAGAATTACATACAGGAAGGGTGAGGCGGCAGCAAGGGCTGCCGGTTAAAAAATATATACATCTTAAGCCATTCCAGCCACGATATCATTATCAGAAAATAAAGCAATCTCTCCACATAGCGCTTCTCTTTGGTGCTGTTCCACGGGCTTGGACTCTGGGCCCCTCCGGTCTCCTCATCACAAGTCTGTCATCCTCGCCGGCCACCTGGCTCCCATGGGGAGTGGAGTCTGGAGGAAGGACCAGGCAGATAGCATAGGCTCTAACCCTGCGGACCCCCAAACGAGAGCCTCTTAATCCTTAGTTAGGGCCCTGGAAAGTCATCAGTGTGTGGAAAAAAAACCGGGAGGCATAACAAAACCATCCAGAACCTTCAGAAAGGGTAGGGGGGACAGAGGAATGAAATCAACCCCAGCCAGTACCTCCTCCCAAGATTGGTGGTTTGATTTCTTGGTTTGAAATAACTTGTATCTGAGGATGCCACTGTGAACAGTGATCTCTTTGAGCATTCCAGAAATGATAGCCTGCGGTTTTGCTCTGAATAAGGGAGCTGGGTGATGGAGAGACATCTCCCCTTTCCCTGCCCTGAGCACCCTGGCCAAACAGATGTCACCCATCTGGTTAATCTTGGAATGGGCTGGCTCTCCCCTCTGACTCCAGGTGCCCAGGTGACCCTGCTTTCCCACAGGGCACTGCACTGTCACTGGTATATTCTCTTGGCTTGTAAATACAGCTTCTATCTAGGGATGGAGGGTCAGCAGGGTTCCATTTGGGGGGTAGTTGCATCAGTAGACCGTGGACACAAAGCTGCCCACTCACCTGCTCCAAAGCAGTGTCCGCTCAGCCAGCTGCAGGCATTGATAACCTTGCTGGTATGGAAAGGAGGCGCAGCCGAAGTGCTGAGGACTAGGTGGGATCACTTTTGGGGTAACACCCTCTTCCCACAACTCTGGGACACAGCAGTGTGGCTGGGAGTGGCTGAGAGAGGCTAGGATCTCCAAGCCCAGCTCCTAAAGGTTAATCCAGTTCAGTACAAAAGTGTTAATCTACCTTGGATCAGGGACTACGAGAGCTCAGGCGGAGGCATGGATGCCTGGACATCCGCTCATCCAGTGGCTGTGAGATGCAATTCCTTGTAGGCAAAGGGACAGGGAGAGGGAGGCTCTCCTAAAAAAGTTTAGCATTAACCATGGGAAGTGGCCAGCCTCTAACCTGGAGTCCCTGCAGCTCCTAGTGATGTCACCAGGGAGGCAGAGCCTGTAGCAGTCGGAGGTGACAGAAAGCCTGAAAAGGGGAATCCTGCATTGCAGGAAGGGGTCCGAATAGGTGTGGCCTGGGGCATCCCCCAGAATGAACGTCTTCACCTCTGCTAACCCCTAAACGCCAGTGAGAGCCCAGGACTGCCCCTTGAGTGGGTGAATCAGAGGAAAACGTTGTCTATGTGCCAGGGTTGAGGGGTTTATTAAGACAGAGCCTCTCAGGGAGAGGGTCTTGCCAGGCATTGACCCAGGAGGGCTACACCCAACAACCCCAGGTGTGAATGTCAACAGGCTACCCTCCTGTGGCACAAAGCCTTGCCTTTCTGAGGTTAAGGGAGGAGCGGGTGGGGTGGGGGGACCTTCTGAGCTCTTTCCTTTCCAAGATGTCATTCCATCTTCTTCCCTCTACTACTGGGCCTCTCTATCCTACACCCCAGCCAAGGATGCTAACCTGAACATTCCACAGGTCTCTAGACTAGCCACGCCCAAGAGGAAGAGGAGGAGGAAGAGGAAGAGGCAATAGGAGCGGTGGATACAGGACCCAGCTCTTTACTGAGCCAGTGAGTTCCCGGGGTACATGCCCCGGAGTTACCTAGGCTGGCTGAGGTAGGGGCAAGGAGCAGGGGAGGGTTTCTGGGGGGAGCAGGTGGGATGTAGCCACTTGGGGCTGGCAGGAGCACCAACTGGACCCTAGGTGTAGCAGGACAAGGAGAAAGGTGGAAGGGGAGGGACCCAGCTGGATTGAGGGGATACAGAGCCTCAGGAGCAGCCACAGACCTCTGCAGAAGGTCTGCAGGGCTTTTGGAGACACTCCTGCTCCAAGGGCCTTGCCCTCTCTGACACTAACACCTCCAGAAGAACCCACTGGAAGTCTTTTGGGTCCTGGACACTAAGCTCTGCTCATCCAGGTTACATCCAGGTCCTGAATGGGGAGGGGTCTGGAAATGGATGCGCTGCCTCTTGGGTTGTGGGGAGGGGTGCTTCCTCTGGTGGTCTCCAGCCCTAAGGGGAGTCAGCCCCGGCCCAAGCCTTAGCACTGCCCATGGAGAAGGAAAAAATACCAAAGAAAATGCGGGTGACAGATGAGCCCCCCGCCCCCGCCCTCCCATCCCCGTCTCCCCATCGGCTGTCCCCCAGGAGTCTGCACATGGCCAGGAAGCAGGAAACCTCCTTCCTCTGGGACAGCTCAGAGCCCCGATGCAGGTGTGGAAAGTCGAGGCTGGTGGCTGTGGAGGTCTCCACCATGGATCGTGTCCGTCCATCCATCCATCCATCCGTGTGCTGCTGGGCCATCACACCTTGGCCTCCAGCATCTCCAGGAAGAGTTTGTGCATGGGCACCTTGCCCTGCAGTTTCACACTGTAGAAGTGCTGCACGGCTTTGGCCGCCGTCTGCCGCAGCAGGGGCAGCGTCAGCAGCAGCTTGCCCGTCCTCCGGGGCTCCTCGTGCCGCTGGCTCAGCTCGTAGTCCTGCAGCGCCTCATGCAGCAGGTCCTGCAGCTTCTGCACGGCCTCTAGGTCCTCAATGTACATGGAATCTGCAGACACAGGATGAGAGCGTGTCGGCGTCAGCAAGGGCTTGGCTGCCCCGGGGCGGAAGGCATGTCGGGAGTGGAAGCCAGACCGGCAGGCAGCAGGTCTACCTTCAAAGGCTGACTGCTGAAGAATAAGGATCTTCACTTTAGGGCTGAGTCAAGGGACCGATGGTGGCACTGGGCTCGTCCCCAGAGAGACCACCAGGAGGGTACTGAAAGGGCTTGAACATGGGCAGATCTGTTGGATACCCTGGAGGTATCCAGGGGACCCTGGAACCTGGCCGGCAGAGCTAGAATCTTACGTCTCTCACTTGCAGGCTGTGAGACTTGGGACGAGTAACTTAACTTCTCTATCTCCCATTTTCCTAGTCATACCTACCTCATAGGATTAAGGGGGTTATACAGGGTAAGGGTATAGAGCAATCAAGTGCCCATTCACAGGAGTCTCGCCACCGTTACCCCTGGCACCATCATGTCTTTATGATCTGCTGAGCCATGGGTATCACCTATCTGCGGGACAGCCAACCTCACAACTCTGGCTGCAGAACATCTGATATAAAGGGGCAGAAATCAAGGTCTAGCTGCTTGGGGTGGTGGTGGGGTGGTGGTGGTGAAGGGAGTCCAAGGACATGGTGACAGAGGGAGCCAGTGGGAATACAGCTCAGTGATGGGTGCTTGCCTGGCATGCTCAAGGCCTCGGGTCTGACCCCCAGCACTGCATTGGCTCAGAATGTAGCCCACGAACTCGCCATTTGAAACACTGGCATAGAGCTGGGTCTGAGCAGAACAAAGGGGATCTCCTAGAACCTGTCCTGTGGGGGAACTACCCAGCCACTTTCTGTTACCATCTTGTGTGCATCATCCCTCCCCCCCCCCCCCCGCCCCATGAACTGCAGCCCCAGAGCTTGCTGCGTGGACACGGGGAGCTGAGCCAACCTGGTGGATTCCTCAAAAGAACAGGCAAATCCAGAGCATGCTGGGTGGCCTGACACCAGACAGCTAGGGCAGCCGCTCCAGCTGGCTGGTCCCAGGGATGCTCTGGATTCCCCTGGGTCCCCTTCCAGTCTGTACTCTCCAGAGTCCCTGCAGGGTCGGACCCTAGCCACCTCTGACCCTATTTCCCATCCTGTCACCCTCCCCACGGAGCCACAATTGGCAGGTGCTTTCAACCGAAAATGAAATAAAATAACACTGCAGGATCAATGTCTTCGCAATCCATCAGTGAGTCTGTATCAATGGCATTGATAAACTGTTAATTACAAAATCAATAGCTATGAATTTTTTTTTCTGCTGTCAAAGAGCCCTAGAGATGGCGAGGATGCAGGTGAGTGACAGCTGGCATACTCTCAAGGGGCCGGGTCAGCCTCTGATGAGCTCTGTTCTTCTGCCAGGTCCCTGAGTCACCCATGTATTTAGCCCCAGGGGCCCCTGTACTGATGCCAGGAAGCCTCGGTGGTCTCCTGGCTATCCCTTCTCCATCCAATGTGTGCTGTAGGCTCCTGGGTGTCTGTCCTGCCCTGAGGCTAGGACCTGCAAGGTCCATGTCCAACATCTCTTCCTTCCTGAACCACACAGCGCTAGGATCTTTGAAACCAATGGAAGATAGGAGTGAGGAGTCTCTGGGGGCAAGCAAGGGCCACTGCCTGGGAGGGTGGTATTCACCCGTAATTCCAATAGTTAGGAGGTTGAGGCAGGAGGATTGCCAGGAGTCTTAGGCCAGCCTGGGATAGACAGTCGGTCTCAGGCCAGCCTTTGCTTACAGAGTGAAACGGTCTCAAAACCCAGAGAGATGCCAGTCATTATTGGCTTGCTAATTATAGCAAATTACCTAATGCAAGATATTAACAGTGGAAAGAGCACGCTGAGGGTGGGGAGGCGCGGGATGACATCGTTCTAATGCAGATTGCTGCGCTGCACTGTGCGGGGCCCACATTGGCTGACAATGACTGGGGGTGGGGACGGGGGTGGGGGGGATTGATGACGTCAGGAAAGGCACCAGAGGGCTAAGACTGGGGAGCTCACAACAACAAAACCAATGTGGCTGAGGGTGGGAGCGCTGCGGAGTAATGGGTCTGAGCCATCCAGTGTCCCTGTATGTGCTCCAAAGCCACAGAGTGACCAATGGTCCCAGTGTGTCAGCCACTCAAGGAACTCCTCGGATATGAGACTTTCCAGGGAGAGCTTGGCGCGCACAGAGAAGCGGCAGTCTGCCTGTGTGTATGTCTCTACCTGGGAGCCAGCTTTCCCTCATCTGTGTGCTGGGAACACTATTTCCTCTGATATTATAATAGCGGTGACAATCGTCAATATTTACTGAGCTTTCCTCCAGGCCAGGCACTGGGCTGCATTATCCTCGGCTGATCTTTAATATTCACAGGTGCTTGAAGGAGGTACTGGGAAGGCCTCCCACTCAAGGACAGAGCTAACCAAGGTCATGCTGTTAGTGTCAGGGACAGTGTGTGTGTGTGTGTGTGTGTGTGTGTGTGTGTGTGTGTGTCTGTGTGTCTGTGTCTGTGTCTGTGTGTGCAGTGCCAGTGGAGGCCAGAAGAGGGCATTGGATCCTCTGGAGCTGGAATTAGAAGTTTGTGAGGTGCCATGTGGGTGCTGAGAACTAAACCCAGGTCCTCTGCAAAAGCAGCCAGTGCTCTTAATTGCTAAGCCATCTCTTCAGCCCCAGAGATAGAATTTGAACTCAGGTCCATCTGGCCCAGGCCAGAGCAAGGAACTCTGCCACGTACTGCCCTGCAGCAGGGTTGTGATTGTATGTGAGCATGTCTAGCACTACTCTCACCCAGAGACCCTGCATTTCTCCTTGTCCCCAGCAGACGACCTCCAGAAGGACAGAGGCTCTAAGTGTGGACAGATCTATCTCTCCATTGCCCAGGATAATCTATCTATCCATTATGCCTTGCCCGGATAATCTAGCTGAAGTTGTAGGAATTTTAGGAAACTGAATAATCTAAAAACTTTTTAATGCTAGACAACCATCCACGTGGGAGGTTAGATGTCTGTGTACCCAGGTGATGTGATGGAAAGGTTCAGAAGAGGAGTCTAAGACTGTGTTATCTGAGAATTCGATGACCTTGTCTTGGATCCTAACTCTGACACTTTTTTTTTCTAATTTTTTTAAAAAAATATATTTTAGGACAGGGTCTCACTAATGTAGCCCTGGCTAGCCTGGAACTCATTATGTAGATCAGGCTGGCTTTAAACTCACAAGATCCTCCTGCCTCAGTCTTCTTAGTGCTGGGATTAAAGGCCTGTGCCACGACATCTGGACTAACCCTGACATCTTTAAACAGTGTGTGACTCTGGACAAATTCCCAGCCTCAATTTCCCCATCTATAAAATGGGATTATAATAAGAATGAATGTGCTTCATGTCATAGCCAATTTAGCAAGCTGAGCACTCACTACTGTGTGCTAGGTATGTGGTCAACATAATTATGTATAATTATACTGTGGAGTGAGCAACGCTCATGGTCGCCTAGGCTCAGAAGGAAGCACCATGCTCAAGGGGTCGATGCAGACACAGCCCTTAGCACCGGACTCAGAATCCGCATCCTTTGGTTTCCGCAAGTAGAAGGTCTAGGAAACACAAAACCAGCGCTGGCCTCCACGACGATCCTTTCAACTCCAGGCCGCCCTTGCAGTGTGGGGCGGCTTAAATGAGAAATGTCCCCACGGGCTCACGTACGTGAGCGTCCTGTCCCCAGGTGGTGGTGTATCGTGTATCGGGGAAGTTATGGAACCTTCGGGAAGTGGAGCCTTGCCGGAGGAGCAGCTTTGAGGTTTAGAGCCTCATCCCACTTCCTGTTCGCTCCCCCTGCTCCCTTGTGTGTGGATGAAATGCTGCCTCTCTGCTTCCTGCTGCCACACCAAGCCGCCTCTCCCCATTCCGGTGATGGACTCTATCCCTCTGGAGCCCTAAGCCAAAAATAAACCCTTTCTTCTGTAAGCTGCTTTTATATCACAGGAAGAGACAAGGACTAACGCGCACAGTGTTCGCCAATGACAGCAATGTCCATCACCCCATACCCATCACAGCCAGCCCCGCCCACAGCCTGAGCTTGCCAGGCTCCCTCACACGCCTTGGAGCCCTCTGAGGGTCCCACGCCACCATTACCTGAGTTGGCGAGAGCCAGGGCCTTGAGCGTCACAAACTCCTCCTTCTCGACCTTGAGCTTCTTGTACCTGCGTACCAGCTGCAGGATGGCGCGGTAGAGCTCCAGCAGCCCCGCCAGGCGAGAGTGCTCCTCGTCCATGATGTAGTCCTCCGCGTACACCAGCTTATCATCATAGGGCAGCGAGCGGTACACGATGCCCAGGATGAGGATCTCCATCCAGGCACTCTGCAGCAGGCTCATCTGGTCCCCGAGTGACAGATTCGAGAAGCCTGCAGAAGCGGGAGAAGAGGACAAGGATCAGAAATGGGCCCAGGGTCTTCCCTGGGGCTTGCTAGAGGGCAGATTGGAAGAGGGGGTGAAGGGGGGGGACTGTGTCCTTGCATCTCCAGACCCTGCTGGGGGTGGGGGGAACCATGGGATGCTGCTTCCACCCCCTCGGTAAATGAGTCACACCAGAATTCATGGGAAAGACTTACATAAGAGCTGGGTCAATGTTGACAGTTACTATCATTATGCTTGTTGGTTCTAGGTCTTTCCCAGTATCTGGAGATTAATTAGGTGCATATGTAATGGAAGGAGCTGCTGAACTAATGGCAGGATTTGAGGGTGGCCTCTAACACTCTGCTCCCTCCCGGGAGTCTCTCTGTTTGAAAACAATTCTGATTCTAACACAGTTTCCAGCCAAGAAGGAGGATGCAGTTATCCATTGGCCTGGGCAGAAGTTCCTGTGACCAAAAAGCAGAGGCTGCCGGGAGGGGAAAGCTCCATAGACAGACAGCCTGTCAGCCCATGTGTCCAGACTGGCTGCCTAGACTGTCACTTAAGACTCGGAAGATACGCTCTGGACGCTAGCACTCATGGACGCTACCTGCTCCCTCCAGTGAGGAGAAATGGGGTTTAAGAGGGCCCCAGAATCATGACACTGCCTTGTCCAATGTGCTATGGGAGATGATCTGGGCTTGACTCTGACTGCCCATGGTCAGCTGTGGGCTGACCTTGGGGAGGCCATGCAACTTCTGCAAACCTTGACTACCTCTCCGATCTCTCGGTCCATGAAATGGGCAGGAGAGCAGAGGACGCTTCCGAGTGGCTGTGAGCTACACAGATGGATGACAACAGACACGCAAGCTCTTATTAATGCTGAGACGAAGGTCTGCGTCTGCCAGATGATGGTGACATGCTGGGACTGCACTGTGTGTGGACTTGATTTAGGCAAAGTCAATTAACAGCCTGATTTACGAGAAGGCCACAGAGAAGAGTAAGTTTGCTAATTTCAAACATCATAACCACTAAACAGGAGGCAGTTAACTTCTCAGGGGGGCCCATCCAGAAACGGGGAGATTAGTCTAACTCGAGCAAGCTAGATTTATTGAGAGAAGGAAATAGCTGGGCACCAGTACTTGGGAGGAGGATGTAGCGTGCCAAGCCAGCCTTGACCACACGAGACCCCGTCTCAAAACAAACAAAACCAGGCTGGAAATACAGTGCAGTTGCTGTGCCTGCCTGGCATGTGAGGCCCTAACTTTAACTCCCGGTGCCTGGGGTGGGGTGAGAGAAGAGAGTCCACAAGCCATCTGCACAATGTTCCGTGTGCAACTGAAATTAAGGAAATCCGTTTCTGGGCAATTCTGCTAATGAAAGAATTTGCTAACTTCGGACGAATCCCTGCCTACTCATTGCTTGTGATGTGTGGGTGTCGTGGGGATGAAAGAACATGTAAGGAGGAGGACCCCACACCACTGGTGGTGCACAGTGAGCCACCATCCCCCTGCCCAGGATGACTGAGGAAGCCGCCATTATCTTTTATTAGTGCAGTCATTATTACTTCCTTCTCTTTGGACTTGCCCAGTTCCCGGATGGCCCATCTCTTAGGGCCAGTGGGGTATCTTTCCTGTTACCCACCCAGGACAAATGCCTTCCCTCTTGGGGGGTACCCCTGAAGTTAAAGGCTAATTACCTCATCTTTATTTTCTAAGTCTCGCCATTATGAACCCTGAACCTGTCCATACAACCTGTGCCTTGGATCACCACCTGGCTGCCAGACTCTCTAGAGGTGACCAATCACAGAGGAGGTTGTACCCACCAACTAGGGGGACCTTTGGTGACTGAACCTCCTTGGGGGGACATGACAGGACACAAGGGTTAAGTACGTCCGCTGCTACCCACGTCTCCAGTACCACAGAGGGTATGTGGCAGCCTGTGGGGGCCCAGGAAGCCGGAGGTAATAAAAGATAGGAATGGACATTCAATTTCCCTTATCAGGTCCGTGAGTAGGAGAGAGGCTTTGGTGACATTAATTAGCAGATACCAATCAGCCAGCATGGGAGGGTGTGGGTGGGGAGGAAAGCAGACTGCACTGGGAGGGGATGGACGGGAACAGAAAGACTGAGGAGGATGGAGGCGGCACACAGGGGGAATTAACAGACAATGAATCGGAAGGCAGTGGGAAGGGCGCATGAGGCACAGCCAGGCTCTGGGGATGCAAACAGGCTGCCGAGACTCATCCCTCAGGCACGATCTCTGCAAGAATGTCACAAGCAGGCTTCCGTCCCTCTCGGCGCCCCATGGCGACCGATGGTTTACTCAAACCATAACTCCCAGCCTCCCAGGAGTACTGTGGAGAAGATGTCACAGGGCACTAAATGTCATCAACCAACATGGTGGCGGACGCCTTTAATTCCACCACTTGGGAGGCAGAGGCAGGTGGGGCTCTGAGTTTGAGGTCAGCCTGGTCTGTACAGTGAGTTCCTGGACAGCCAGGGCTACACAGAGAAACCCTGTCTCGAAAAACAGAAAGAAAGAAAGAGAGAGAGAGAGAGAGAGAGAGAGAGAGAGAGAGAGAGAGAGAGAGAGAGAGAGAGAGAGAGAGAAAGGAGGGAGGGACGGAGGGACGGAGGGAGGGAGGGAGTGGAGTGAGAGAGAAAGAAAGGAAGAACTGTAGTGAACGGAAGGTTCTGAGACCATGCAATGGTAGAGTTACTCAAGGACAGCCCAGGGAGACCCTGCACAAGTGACCTGGGGCCTGTGTTCTAAAGGGACACTCACCGGGGTACAGACATGCTCCCGAGCCCTAATCTCCAAGAGCCTGGAACGTGGAGACACCAGACACAGGGCCCCTTGCCTTCCTGCCCAGGCTCTTGCTCACCCAGCCTGATAAGTAGCCACAGCAGAGGACAGACAGACTGATGCCGTGGCCTGACCCTGGCACGGCAGGAAAGCAACCTCAAACACTTGCTCAGAGTTTATACCCCACACAAGGGTCATGGAAGAGGCTGGCCTGCTCTAAGGGTCGGTGGCGGGGCAGACAGCCACTTAGAAAACTCTTTGCTGCTGTGGGAGAGTGCACTCCGAAGGCAGGCTTTCAACCTCTGGGCTGAGTGAGTGTGCCCTCTGAGCAGCAGACTCACCCTCTGGGGAGAGAATGCCTTCTCCGTCCGGGACAGAGTTCTGAAACCATTTTAATGCTTTCTAGTACTTGAGAAAAACAGTAGAAGGGAAAACGGGAGTAGACATGATTAGCTCCAGGAGAGGACCGGGTGGCGGAGGAGAAATGCGGCATTTGTTAATCACATTCAGAAAGTATGCCAGGCAGAAAAAACGATGGAAATGCAATTTGTGATACATGTACTTATTATATAAACACAACAGTTAATAAACGAACCGCCACAAAGCGTGAGGGGGAACTATTTGTGTGGATGTGCAAACACAGGCTGGAGGCAGACTCCAGAGCCAACTGGTCACACCAGTCACTCTGCTGACCACTGGAGGCGACCCTAGGCCAGGCCGCCTCAGACCTGCTGTATCTACACTCCTCCGTAAAATGGGACCGAGGACACCACGTCAGGGGGGACACAGAACACTTCTTGATCTGCTTAGCACACAGGAAGTACAGAAATACTTAACGTCATCACATGACGTTAGGGGAACAGAGTGTTAAAATGTGAGCCTGTGGGGCAGGGAACACACGGTGGCTGGCTGTACACACACAGGGAATTCCCAGAAGGCTCTCACATGGGGGCCGCGGAGGTTTTCATGTTCACTTCTGGTATTTGCATGAGAAGTAGATTCTGTTATTTAAAACCCAAGCAGCTGGTGCGCCCCCCCCCCCACCTTCGGGGAAAACACCCCCACTTGTGTTTCCAATTGGGCTGGGCCTCCATCCGTTCATCTGGGATCTGGGCCAGCAAGGCCCCTCCCTGCAGCTGAGGGGTCTGAAAGAGGCTCTGGTGGCCTGGGTTCTGGACCAGCAAGGTTGACCAGCTCTCCCTGCAGCTCATCCTGGGAGCACTGGCCAACCCAGGGCCCCTGGCTCACAGGTCTTCCTTCTACGGCTCCAGGAAAACTGTGTTATCTACACCAGTGGATCTAGTAACAGCTGGCCCCATCCCCCACGACACCATGAGCTCCTAGAATTAAAGAAAAAAAAAAAGCAGGTAATTTGTGGCAAGTGGAGTTCATAATCTGCTAATTTATGATGGTCTCTGCCGACCTGGAGAGCCATTAGAGAGGTAATAAAGGGAGATGTAATTATAGGATCCGGGGCCACTTCAGACACAGCTGCTGTCACGCGGCAGCTCATCCTTCATCCAGCCAGACGGCGGTTCCCCAGGAGCAGGCTGTCCAAAGAGTCTTCCTGAAGAGGCCTATGGGGATCCCCTGCACACAGCACCCTGGGCTGGGCACTAGTGATGACTCCCGTGAAGGCTCTCCTGGCCAGGGTGGAGCAACTGACTGAGCACTACCAGCAGCTAAGGCTCTAGTCTCTGGATCACAGGGAGGAAGCGGTCCAGCCGTCGCTGCCCTCATGACTACTAGGGCTGGCCCTCCAGGAAGCCCAGCACTTGGGAAGTTCAACTCAAGCCCAAACTGCATTTCCAGCCCTGTAACCTCCAAGTGACCCAAGCCATAACTGAGCAAACTGCTATTCCAATCAGCCTGTGATCCCAGCACTGAAGAGGCCCTGGCAGAAGGATCATTAGGACTTTGAAGCCAGCCAAGGCTGCTACACAGTAGCACCTTGTCTCCAAAACAGAAAATAAGCAGTAGTCCCTCTTCTGAGGTTTTAGTTATGCAAGGTCAGCTAACTGGGTATGGAAATGGAAAGTAGAAGATTCCAGAAGTGAACGACTTTGAGTTGATCTGTGATCTGGGCCACTCTGCTCTACTCTGCTCCCTACAGGAATGGAGCAGGCTGTTTTCTGGTGTATCGATGCTGTCTACGCTGCCCACCCGTCTGTCACGTGAAGCCACCTCAGTCGGGGTAATGCAGTACACCAATATGCTCAGGTGGTCCTCCTTTCACTCACTAATGACCCCAGATAGACACCAAGACATGAGACACAGAAGGACAAATAAACTCCAGTGCAGTGATATTACAATATATATATGAAAATTATATATATATGTGTATATATATACATATATATATGTATGTATGTCTCAGACATAGCAACCTATCAGAGGTTTCAGGCTTCATGGGGTGGAGTCTTAGATCGTCTCTGGTTAGTGGGCAGGGCACCCCTACAACTCTGTCTAAGCCACATGCTGGGACAGACCCTCTGTCCAGCGCTTACTCTGTAAGTACCCTCTGTGCACCTGGTTGTAGACCACAGGCTGCAGACACTGCAGCCCGAGGCAACCCCCTGTCTACAGACTGCTGCATGACTCCAGTCCTGGGCAGTCTGAAATCCTTCCTTCTGCGTGCCCCCGACCAGAATCAACACGACTCAACATGGTCTTGGTGTGGGCTCTAACATGTGAGGCCCCTAAATCAATCTTCAAGTGCTTTCTTTCTCTCGGTAAGCCCCGTCCTCAAATGAGTTTTCCATCAGAAGTAGGATTAAGTCAATACTTTAAAAGTATCAGACACAAGGCTGGAGAGACTTGCTGCTCCTACAGAGGGTGCAGGGTAGATTCCCAGTACCCACACGGAAGATCACAATCATTTGTGACTCCAGTTCCAGGAGATCTGACGCCCTCTTCTGGCTTCCTCGGGCACTGCATGCACATGGTGCACAGGTCTACACGCAGGCAAAACACCTAGCCATACACGTTTAAAAAGGACACCTGGTCTGTCCCTGCCCTTAGTGCGAGGTTTACAAACGGTGGCAGGAGACCCTTATTAATTACCCGAATGATTCAACGTGCATATTTATGCAAAACAGTCAAGTCAGTGCATAAGACAAACAAGGAAGCCGATGTTCATTTCACGTCTTCCTATTTGTGGTTCTGGTTTCCCGAGACAGGGTCTCTTCTGCTAGGCAGCCTGGTTGACCCAGAACTTGCTCTGCACAACAGTCTGGCCTCAAACTGACGGCAAGCCCGCTGCCTCTGTTTTCGGAGTGCTGAGATTACAGGCGTTGAGATTACACCACACTCACTCTGTTTCTCATCCACAGGAATCAGTCTTTGGAGAGGAAAATACTGGTCCAAAGCGGGCTTGTGTCACTCACTACTGGTAACTGTGACAACCATGGCAGCTGTGGCAGTTTTGAGTGACGGCCCTCCTGGGATTCCTAGTGGGGGCTTCTGGCGCTCCCATCTTGCAGACGGGAACACTGAGGCTCAGAAAAACCTTACACAAGCCCCATAAGGCAGATCTGGGACAGGAGGCCTGCTGGTGTGGCTCCAAGCCTATGTCCCCAACAATCACCCCGCTTACCTGTCCCTCTAACTTGGCACAGGTGTGAAAGAAAAACATACGAGCTAGGAGAGCTAGTCTCCTGGACACTCCTTTACCCCAGGTGTTATGAGGGCAAGGCCAACAAAAGGAAGATGTACTGATCCGGGAGACCACCAGGCGACACTCCTGAGTTATCCCTCTGACACTGCACCTCTCTGACCCGGAACAGTAATCTGAGGGCTGGGCCGGGGTGGCTGTGCCCAATTTGGCTTGGGGTTAGTGGAGCAATCCAGGCTGAGGTGTCTTAAGCATCGGCCTGACGCCACATCTGTGCTGAGGCAGCACAGGGCAGATTTAAAAACTGAGTGTGTAATCCCAGGAGACTGAGCTCCTTACAAAGGACGCACTAGCCAGGTGCCTGGCCAAACCCACCCAAGGCTCAGAGTGCCAAGGGACCACTTCAGAATCCTCTAGGCATGTGTGTCGGCAACAACATCTCCATCCCGTCCACAGCCGGTGCCTTCCTGTGGGGGCACACACGAGTCTCACTCACACGGAACTTGGATCACCTCGATAACCACTGGCACTCACAGGTTAGCACCCCTCTGCTGTGGTGCCACGTGTGTTATGGTCATCTTTTAGGGCCACGGCGGACAAAAAATCATGTATAGACAGACAGACAAAGTCGTGCATCGTGTAGCTAGAAAGAGGAGGGGTTCACTGCCAGAGGCAGCAGCATGTCTCTGACTCAGTGAGGCCCAGTGCTGGAGCCCAGGACAGGACCTTCAATTGTACAGAGAAAGGCCCCCGGGCGTGTGCAATATGGAATCAGATGGGCTCCCGTTGTCCACCCAGACCAAGGGAGGTTCACAGTGGGGCACAGAGTGAAGGCTCCCTGAGGGCCTGAAATACCCTGTGCATACATACACTTCCTGCCCCAGAAGCTTCGAGATCTCAACACGGAGACCAGAGAAAGCTCCAGCAGGTGGCCACGGTGAGCTCACAAGTGACACCGGCCCACGATGGACTCCACACCTGGACCTCACAGCCTCACGTCACCCTGTTTAGTAACTACGAAGGTCGAGTTCTCGTACTCCCGTCACAGGTCAAGCGACAGGCTCAGGCCACACGGCGTCTGGGCCTAGAATCTGAACCTGACCCAACTCCCAAGGCCCCTGCCCCTAACTAACCCCTTCTCTCTGCCCACAGCTAGGGGGAGGGAGCCGCTTTCCACTCTAATTCCACTTCAGGAACAGCGTGCTGATTTGACTTGCGGGCTCAAGGAACTTGTTCTTCAGATGTTTTCAATTCTCTACCCCTATTGCAGGTTCCAATAAGATGGCAGGGAATTCTGATGAGCCCCTGGCAGTTCATAGACATTACTGACCCTTCCGAATACTACTCCCCTCGATCCCACAGAAGAGAGAAGGGCCTTAAGTGGGGTGGCAAAGGTCTCCTAGGCTTCGCTGGGCCCGACACCAAACATCAAAGGCGCATCTACGGGACTGGGGGAGCCTAGAGCCCCTCACCACCCTTGCCCCCACCCCGCCATGACTCACCTGGGATGTGTTTGGCCCAGCCGATGATGACTACAAGCTCCCGATCTGCCAGGTCACAGAGGGTGGTCAGGGCCTTGATATCTCCCTCAGGCATACCAGGGGGAGGCATAGCGTACAGCTTGTCCGGTTCAGCCACCAGTAGATAGGAGACGATCTTAGTCACTGTAATGAGCAAAGAGGGGGCAAAAAGTAAATGCCGGGGAAGGGCGAGGGTGAAGCCCTGGGGGTCAAACGTGGCTGGCATCTGTCTGTCTCCTGACGTCCCAAAGCTGCTGGCAGCAGCAATGAGGGCGCTGGGATGTCTCCTGCAACAGGACACCACACAGACGACCCTGGCACAGCAGTTCTAGAAAAGTGGCCATGCGTGGGGACAAGGTCTGGGTGCTGGGGCTCTTATTTCACATGGAGGCCAGTTCTGCGCCATTCCATATGGATAGGCCTTCTGATGAAGCCAGGCAATACCAGGCACCGTTGGCTGTCTTTAGATCCACAGCACTCACCACCCCCCAGGAGGACAGAATGGCCCCAGTGGGTCGCCCACCAGCCCAATGCTGCATCTGCCCATGCCAGCGTGTTTCCCTGCATGTGCGGGATACCCTCAGGGGTCCCCCCACACTCCCCATAATAATTCATAACAGAGGATGCCAGGTATTCCGGGCTGAGAAGAGCAGGCGTGCGGGGTGGCGGGGGTGGGGGGGTGGGGGGGTGGCTGCCTGGTACACACTTGGCTTTTTAGCAGGTGGGGAAATCTGTAAGCTCAGGTAGGGGCCGCTCTCCGAGTCCAGCCGTCGCTTGTACTTCTGGCGCCCTCCACGCACTCGGTCAAGACGCACACCTGTCAGAGGAGGAAGACGTTGGTATCAAGAGCTGGTTCCAAACCTCCAGGGGAGGAGGCACTGCTTTGGAACTGCAGCCCTGGCTGAGAGCTTCGTGGCCATCCAGCCTCGTGCCAGGAGGTGAGACATCATCTGAAGGAACAGCCCATCTCAAAGCCTGGTCCCGTCTCTCCCGGTGGAGCATCCTCCTAAAGTCACCCCGAGACCTCTAGCCTCTGAGCCCTCACCTCTAAAAGCAAGGCACAATAAAGCCAAGGGTCCTTATCTTGGTTCTGCTCTGTATCCGGGGAGGGCTGAGTTCACAAAGTTGGCAAAGGGGGACTAGTGATGTAGGTCAGTTGGCACAGTGCAATGCCCAGCACATACAAAGCCCATGCTGCAGCCCCACTCCCAACACACAAACACACACACACACACACACACACACACACACACACACACACACACACATAAAACGAGTATAGTGGCATGTGCCTGTAATCCCAGCACTCAGGTGAAGACAGGGAGATCAGAAGTCCATGGTCAGCAACACAGGAAATCTACAGCTAGCCTGGGCTACACGGGATTGTCTCAAAAGTAAAGCGGCAGATGGAGAGAGAGAGAGAGAGAAAGCAGGGTGATTGCCTCGGCTTCTAAGTTCTTCTCAAGTTCAACCCCTGTTCTGTCCCCTAAAGGGAAGAGTACCCTCACCTTTCCCAGAAGACTTGCAGACCTGTTGGCAGTCTTGACCTGCCCACTCGACTCAGCCCATCCCAAGCTGCTTGAGCGGAAGTCAAAATGGCCCCTTGATAGAAGGAAGATTTCCATCCCATTCATACCCCTTGATGGTATGTACAACTAGTTACATCCAAACAGTCCTGGGGAAAAGAGGAAACTGCCTCGAGAATGATAGCAATTGAAAGTGACATCATTTTGTAGGTGGGACAATGCCTTTGGGGCACACCCACACCCAGTTTCAAAAAAAGGCTACATACAGCTCACATCCTCTCCGGAGGGCAAAGGCCATACTGGAGCTATGCAGGCAGGAGCCAAGGCCAACAAGAGGGAACTAACTGGTTCTTAGGGAGGTAGTTACTTCTCAGCCATGCCTAGTCCGTGGTCATCTCCCAAACTGGCCTTCAACTTGGGGCCCAAGTTCAGCCTCCAAGGGGAAGATTATAGGTCTGTGCCACCATACCCAGTCTACGCAGCGCAGGGGATAGACTGCAGGACCCCACCCTCCTCTGTACCAGGCAAAGACTCGCCAACACAGCTACATCCTCAGCTCACTAGCAGTCCTTTAATCTCACAATGGGACTTCTGTCACAAGCCTTGCTGCACAAGGCTGTAGGGAACACTACAGTGAGGGGGAGAGACTCAGCATCCCACCCCACCCCACCCCCGACTTCTACCTAATGGTTAATTCCCATTTGGAGGGGCATCTTGTTGAGGTCCGGTGCTGCACTTTCATTGGTCTGGGTTCTTCATCCCTCTTAGAGGTGGAAGGATGGGCAGAGGGAAGGAGAAAGGTACAGAATGCGTGGGCAGCCCTAAGACACAGCATCCTGGTCACATAGGAGATGATGCTCCTGAGCACTCTGGGATCTGCTGCTTTCTAAGCCTGGTCTGTGGGCCTCTCGAGAAGCTGTCAACAATGCCCTACCTCTGATTAGACGGTCAAAGGGTCTGGGTCAGTTTCTCTAGGAACAGAACCTGAGCAAAGGATGTGCAGACAAGAAGCGGTGAGGGAGAAAGAGGGAAGGAAGAAGGAAGGTTCTGGATTCTGCTGTTGGCTCTGTCAGTTCAACTTGCTGGTACTCCTCACACACTGGAGGTCTGGTCTGGGTGATTTATCTCTCAGTCACCAGCAGAATGCTGCTCTGACGATTCTGCTAGCCTGACCGGTGGGCCGGGGCTGACCCAGCTGGTGGCCAAAGCTCTGGGGGCAGAACTGAAGTCACAAGATGTGACGAGCATGCCTAAGATGGCTAATGATTGCAGAGGTGATTGCGGCCCGACCAGCAGCATCACCATTATCTGGGGCTTGTTAAAAGAGCAAATGAGCCTCTTCCTGCCTCCCTCTCCCCTCCACCCCCAGCCCCCAAGACAGTCTTATGTACCTCCAGCTGGCCTCCAAATCGCTGAGTAGCCAAGGAAGTTCCTGAGCTTCTGATTCTCCTGTCTCTTTTTCCTCGGTGTTGGGATTATAGGCATGCGGCACCATGAGCAGTTTATGGGATACTGGGGTTTGAACCCAGGACTTTGTGCGTGCCAGACAAGAAACTCTACTAACCAAGTTATACTTGCAGCCCCCAAATAAGCATCTTACCAAGATGAGCTATGAGATGCAGTCTGTGGGCACGGCTCCCAGGGCACTCTGAGGACCTGCTCTGGATTCCACCTCCATCATCATCCTGGCCCTTAGGGGACACAGGAAACAGCTCAATCCCCCCCCCCCAACACAGCCCTAATCCTTCAGGCTCGGACTGCAGCTCACATCTGTCCCTCACTCCTGAAATAGAGGCAGAGACACCCTAGACGGGAGGCCCCTTGCTTACTGCTCTCCCAGCTGAACTAAGCTCAGGCTACCCCTTGAAATGCCAACACAACCTGGGGTATAACCCTACTGCATTCCCAGAGGGCAGTGAGGACCCATGGGCGCCCTTATGTGCCAGGGGCCGATATGCGCTCTCATTCTTGAGTCCAAAAAGTGGGGGTGGTCTGCCCCCATTTTCGCCACTTCTTTTCCCCAGAAGCCCCTCCAAGGGACTCTCCTCTTCCCCTAGCCTACCTAAGGCAGCTGTCAGCTAGAGAGACTTTTGAAACAGGAAGGGGGGGGGGAGGCAGTTGACACCTCTGATGTCCCTTCTGGAAGGTTCTCTGACTTGATTAAAGACCTTGGAGGGTGTTCAAGAAAGCCTCGATGAGTAAGAGCACGCATACCAGGTGTTTCTTCACACACCAGGGTCTTCCCTGCTGGCTTCGTGTCCCTTAAGGTCAGGGGCTGCTTGTGGCCCACACTGGGTTCTGGCACGGAGCCTGGTAGCCAGCAGGTGCTTAGGAAAACACCGTGTTCAACTTCCCGGTAAGTCACATCAGCTATGGTTAACAGCATGGCTCACAGACGACTTTCTACATCCATTACCCCGTCTAACCCACAGCATACGGACTGGCTGCCGTTCCCTCGTTTAACACACACGGTGAACAGGTTGAGGGGCTGGCTGGTTTGCCCGGTCAGAGTCAGTACCCAAGCTCCTTTGCCGTCCCAAGGAGTGAGCTTCCAGGACACATCTCAAGTCCTCCAACTCTCCTCTGCATTTCCCCGTCCAGTTCCTTCCTAGCCAGGCAGCCAGTGACTCCAAAGGGCCTCAGGTGTCCCGTCAGCGTCTCTGGTTGGAACCTAATTAAGGACTGCACATCAAAGCCTGGTTGGGAAACACATCTGTTCCAGGTGTTTCTAAGCTCTTGTTCAAATCCAAACCCAGGAAGCCTCTGACCTGTCGCCCAGGGAACCCAGTGCTCATGTTCAGGCTGATCTACTTCCTGACACGCGGAGGTGGTGGTTCAAAGTTCCAGTGTCAGCCGGGCGGTGGTGGCGCACGCCTTTAATCCCAGCACTCGGGAGGCAGACCCAGGCAGATCTCTGTGAGTTCGAGGCCAACCTGGTCTCCAAAGCGAGTTCCAGGCATAAAGCTACACAGAGAAACCCTGTCTCAGAAAAAACAACAACAACAAAACAAAGTTCCAGTGTCATCCTCGGGTTAGGGAGGAGACAATGGTCAGACCCACTCTGCTCGAGTCCAGGCTTTCCTGACATTTTAATGACCTTGAGGTGGGGGGTGTGGCAAAGAGGTTCCAAAGGGCCAGGAGCTGCACTTAGCCGCTTCCAGAGCCACCACAGGCATGCTCCCATCCTGCTTCTGGCTCTCCAGGGCAGGAGGTTCAGTACTGCCTACATACAGCTCTGCCCCACACCGGTCACGATTTGTAATGATCATTTGGAGCAGAGGACATGAGCCTGCGCATCTCACTCTGTGGAGCACAAATCCGGCACAGAGTCAGTGCCAACCTCCAAATCCAATGACCTTGCCCTCCTTGCCGACACCGCTCTGGAAACAGTTACTTTTCTGGACCCTCCTCAGGAGGGCCTTCCCGGATCACGGCTTTTCCTGAGACCTGCCACGGAAGTCCAGACTTTTCTGGACTCCTGTGTTCACCCACGTGCCGCTCCGCTGCCTCCTGCTGAGTGTGCCCAGACAAGCCCAGGACTGAGCTGTGGTGGCCAACAGGGTGGCTGACGTGTTCATCTCAGACAGCTCCTCTCGCGACATCCCTATGTCCCGCCTGTCCACGGCAGGCACTCCTCCCTCATGAAGTTCCTCCGGCTAATTCCTACTTCCTTCCTCAGAACTCTCCAAGCTCCATCCCAGCCTCGGAGCCGACACTGACTTTCTCCAGGTCAATCCTTCGGCATCTGGACTTCTCCTGGACACCCTTCTTCCAAGGCCAAGCAGTCTTTACCTTCTGCAGCTTCACGCCATCTCTCCTGCCTTTTCTGTATCTTCCTTCCTTTTCTGCCTTTCTTTTTATTGCTAATCTTGCTCTGGACTGAGAATTGTCAGTACCTCGAGGCCAAAGGCAGTGGATATCTGAAAGCCTCTGCACACCGCAGACAGTAGTCAACTGTGCTTGCTCTTTCTTCCCATCGAGGTTTTACATTCATTCACTCAGTAAGCTGCTTCTGTTTTTATTAAAACCAGACACGGTGGCACAGGCTGGCCCTCCTCCTATCACCTTGAGCCTGCAGGTGGGCCTTTTAGACCCACGTGCCATTCTGGGTTGTTTGCGGAAGCAGCAAGTTCCAGCCAGTCCCAACAATTCTGTTGCCTATTCCAGCAGCTTCCCTGTTATCTGTGAGGACTACCTTGCAGTCAGCCATGAAGCAGCCACCCGAGGCCACTGAAAACATGGAAGAGTTGACACTGATAACCTCAACTGCCAGGGAATATGTCTCTCACTC